AATGGTAGTGTTACTGATTTGTGTGGGACACTTTTTCTTTTCTTTTCTTTTCCTTCATTTTCTCTCTTCCCAAACAGAAAACAAAACAAAACCAAAAAAAAAATCGAAATAGTGTGTGAAAAGTTGGAATCAGAGGGAAAAAAAAGTAGAGTAATTTAGTGGGTATGGGTGGGGGTGGTGCATCCAGCTAAGATTCTGCTGGTCTCTAATGTCTTCTCCTCCTACCTCCATTCATTTTTTTTTACATTCTTCATCTTCTTTCTTTTTCTCCCTTCTCACTTTCTTACCCTCAACTTTTGCTAACATTTCTAACTCCTATTTCAAAAAAGTTCATATCTTTGATCATAGCTCCGAAATTAAGATATGAGAGTTATAATGGGTATCTTTTACATTGAGTTATGTTTGCAGATTGGGATAAGCAACACCATTTTAAGTTATACAGATAGATACGAGTTCAATTTGTAGGTGTTAGCTAACATAAATATAGTTCAAATAACTTAATTCGTAGATTCGAATCACCTTATTTAAGGTAATGTCTTAAAAAAAAACTCGACTAGTGAATTAAATCCCTTTTCAAGATGTTAATGGATGTGCCAACAGTTGTTTAATAAAAAAGAGAGGAAAAAAAATCTCAGATGGATGCCACTTTTTAGAAAAATCATAAATCTTTGAAAAAGAGTGTATTCATCATGTACGTTACTTTCAATCTTTCCTTTTTATCCTTTTCATGAAAAGAAAACACATATATAATTCAATGAAAATGATTTTTATTTTTATTTGAGTTATGTAGGATATAAATTCAAACATTTCTGCTAAGCTCGATTATTTAATCAATTAAGTTATGTTGAAATTGACAAAATGAATGGATTATTGCAATTTTTTTTTTTTGGGTAGTATTTTGACATATATTTCTTGTTTTTGTCATTTCATACCAATTTCCCTTTTATTATATATATGTGTTTAAAAAAGAATAATATTTGTATGTACCTTGTTTTCGTATTAAGAAAAATAAATAAATAATTAGAAAAAGGAATGATAGTGCGTCTGCTTCGAATAGGGTGCACCGACGCAAATGCTCTGTACATTTCTCCTAATCGGCGTTGGACGCCGCAACCGACGACGCCGGCCGAGGACCGCCAATCCCACCGCCCAGCGCCGTCGTAAATCGTAATGCATTCACTTTTAATTTATTCATTATTTTCATTCTTTCCTAACAAGATTAAATATTTTAAATATTCATCCTTGATTATCTTTGGTAATGCAAATCAAACGTTGGTGAAAATTCAAATATAAGGCGTGATTTCTTTTTTTGCCTTTTTTGAGGAAAATCTAAGACGTGCTTGAGTCACACATTTATCTTAAATTTCGACAGTTAAGTGGAGGGTTTAAAAAACAATTTTAAAATTAATTTAGGTTTATGATGGGTGTAGATAGAGGCCATTACAAACGTGGGTTGTGCTTAGGAAATTAATCTTAACTCTAAACTCAACCGAGGGTAAGACACACATTGCCATTGCCAGACCGATGGTTCAATTTCTCCACCATTTCTTTCTTTTAGTATAACGTGTGGGCGTAGAGATTCGAACTTACAACATTTTGGTCGAAGATAGGTGTCTTAATGTTAAGGATCCCACATTGATAAAAGAAGGGACCTTAAATAGGTTTATAATAAACATGGGCTACTCTTTTCATTGTCAATTGATTTTGAACCTCATGAATACTAATATGGTATCAGAGTCCAAAACGCTCAAACGAGCATCCGGTCTAAAAAAATGGGATCGTTTTGGCCACTTTACTTTTTATCTCAAAAAGTGACAACTTTATATTAAAGAAATTTCATTATCTATAGAATTTGTGTTAAAATTTTGCAAACATAAACTAAAATGATCGCTTTTTAAAAGGCATAACCAAAATGAACATTTTATTTTAGAAGTACATAGACTAAAATGAATAAAAGTTATAAATACATAACTAAAATTAACTTTTTAAAAGTAGATGTGCCAAAATAAATCAAATCAGAGAGTACATAGACCAAAATAATATTTTAACCTCGATTTTTTATATATAGTTTTTTATGCCTTATCTCTTTGGGCATTTTTATAAGGGCGACAAGGAGAAGAAAAAAAAAAGTCCTAATAATGAAGGAGGGTGTGGCATGGATAAACGGAGGCATGATAATTAATTGATTTACGTTGTCATGATTTGATTGCTCCATATTCTTAACGGATACATTCTTATTTAATTATTACATTTTTAAAATCAATAATAGTTACATCATTTAACATTGTCATTATTGTGCTAAAGCGAGCATATTTCAGCGGTAATTAACATAATCTCTAATTAAAAGGTTGTGAGTTCGATCTCCTACCCCAAGTACATGTTGTACTAAAAAAAATATTGTCATTATTGTTATTTATAAAATACTTAATTATGTGACACCCAAATAATAATAATAAAGTTTTGGAGAGAGAGAGAGTTGAAAAGCTAGGTGAGGGCTCGTGCCACTGTTTTCTTTCATGGGACATAGACGTTTCAAGTCATGGATTTACCTTTAATACATAATATTTGTTTTCGTTATCAATATCATACTCTTTTTTTTCCCTTTCTTTTTGTATTTTATTTTATTTTACCAGGATCATTTTGGATTATGTTTACGAAATTTTAACACAAATTTTTTATATAAATTTATGACTACGTTGAGTTCTGTTAAATTGTGATTGAAAAAATAATATAAAAAATAAAATGAATAGATATCTCAAAAATGAAGAAAATAAAATGAATGGACTAAAATAATTTTTTTAGAATTATAGGGACCAAAACAACGACTAAAATAAAAGAAAACTAAAAGTTGAATGTAATAAGAATTAAAATAGTATTTTAACCTTAATTTAATCTCGCATTGAAAAAAACATATTACTTTCTCTTAAATGCACTTTTTGACGTCTCGTGGTTTAATAGATTTCTTTAATTTGTTAGTATACATTTTAAAAATAATATATTAACCAAAGTTTTTTTTTTTTGTTCTAATATGAGTATACCTCTAAGGCACATATCTCTTACTTGCGTAAAAAAGAAAATCAACAAAATATCATTAATACAAGTATGATATGAATAATAAGAATTCTTAACTTATTTAAAAGTAGTAGACTACTTATTTGTTAATTTTTTCCATTGGTTTCTTAATTTTTATGTTTTTTCAATAATATCTATCAATATTTCAAGCATAATTTTGAGATAAGTTGTTATACACAATTTTAGAACCTTTATCTTCTAATCCATAAAAAAAAATTATATTATCATAAATAAAATCAAAATATATACAAATTAAAGTTAAAAACAATTTCACGGGACCTAAAATAATTATCTATCCAAAACCATCTAAACAAAATGAGACTTTCACTAATTAATATAAATAATATTAGAAGCCTTATAAACCAAAGAATCAATACCATCAAGACATATACGAGTAACTACGTATACATGTAATTACGAAAAAAAAATGACTATGATAAGAACTCAATCTATTAAGATAGACAATTTTTTTTCTCTGAGACACGATTCTTGTGACGTTGGAGTAGAGAAACACACGGATAAACCAAATGAGATACGATTTTTGAGGCTACACAAATGCGATTAAGAAAGGATTAAAATAAATTTGATAGTTATTACCTATATCACTTAACAAGATGAGGTGGACACCACGTGTCAATTAGAATCAGTCACCATTGGATGTCTCTCCTTGGACTGAATTTATTTTCTTTTTATTAAAAAGCACATAAAAAGCATGGAATTTTATTAAAGGCACAATTTTAAAAGTAAAAGATCTCACATCTGACAAAAGTAAACAATCCCTTTATCGACTCTTTTTCTCCCACCAACCAAAAGAATTACATTTAGACATTTTTAAAATTTTTTATTTTCTCCATCGCTCAATTATGTATAATCTAAACTTTTTATTATTTAACAATATTTTTACCTTTTTTTTTAGTGAAAATCTATTCATAT